TTTGTGAAATAAAGGCTTGAAGACATAACAATCTAAGGCATGTTTTGGCTCTCATCCAGACAAGCATTCAAGCATGTGATCCAGTTTAACACTCAGTAATTCCACTGACATCCTTTCTGGATCAGTAAGTAAGCTAGACAGAAACATAGCAAGCTTGATCTTTGCCTTCAAACCTTGAGGAGGAGAGCTGCTGGTAACACCTGGTGGACCTTGAGGGCTGATTTCCTAGGCTTCTATGCAAAGATGGGGAAGAAGGGAGAAGAGGAACTAAAATGGCTGTGGAATCTTAATGCCTTCAGGCACCATGTTGGCAAAGAAGCAACTTTTTAATGGTTGCTGCATCAAATGGTGTTCAGAACAGAACCTAGCAGAGCTGTAACATATGTTTCATCGATAGATGGGACTAGTCTGTATAAACCGTGAAAGGATTTAAGGCCCTGGTACTAGATCCCTTCACAGGAAAGTATTACTTTCTGTTGATAATGGTAACACACAAATGAAATTATTCTCAAGGTGTGTTTAGAGGGCTGCATCTATAGGTAGGAAACTCTGCTGCACAGTTTCTTATTGTCTCAGACTACGTTAAAGTGGTTCTCTGTTTTTATCTCTGAATTCTATTCCATTCTGACACTAATTTGTGTTGGGGGGGGGGTTGTTTGTTTGTTTCCCTTTGATTGTTCCCTTTAAACTGTCTAGAGCAACTTAGGAATGAAAGAGCAGAGAAATCCTTCAGTGAGTCTGCTCCCTTGACTTGCAGTGTTTTCCAGCATTTACTCCATTACAAAGCACTAAGAATATATCTTTCCTCTAAAAGTTACTCATGGTCCATGAAAATTTGATTTCAAAATTACTTATTTAAGGGCTCAATACTGAAACATCTACCTAGTTTAGAAGTATTGCTTTCTTTATGGGCTCCATTCCTTTTTTAGTCACTTCCATTAGTTTATGAAATCTTTACTCTCCATGGCTTCTCTCCTGAAAAAAAAGAAAAAAAATTTTTTTTTTTAAAAAACAAGCTTCTTTTTTACAAAACTAAGATACAAATGGGAAAACCATCTGATTTTCTTTCTGACATTAAGAATGCTTCTTTATACTTCTGAGCATAGAGAAGGAACTCAAATATTATGCATGATACACAACCTTAAATAGATGCAGCACTCTAGTTGTGCAGCTACTTGGTGCTTTGTCCCTTTGAAAGAGATTGCCTGAGCACAAGAGGACAGAACAATTAATTAGTGGAGCCAACAAACACAGAACAGCAGAACAAGAGTCACAGGATGAGATTTTGTTGGGGGAAGAGGCAGAATTCCCTAAAGGAGGCTATAATTATTGTGGCAAAGGAGATACTGAAGGAGAAGAGTTGCAGAAACAATGCAAATGAATGGGTGTAGAGTTCAGCTCTGCATGATGTAAACAGTACTTGAATATGGATCTGAAAAAAAAACATTTTATGCCTGAGATGTTGCTCAATAAAACGTCCAAGGACTAGAGAGAGCTCGATGTGACGGTATGATTTTAGAGGGAAATTTGCAGCAGTAACAGAAAAAAGAAGAGAAGATTTACAGCCCTTTGTTGCACAAGAAGTCAAAGAGAAAGTGTTGAGGACACATATCTGTAGAACAGGGCAGAAGTAGAGACTGACTAAAATAGGATAAATAATGTGCAAGAAGAGGTCTATTGCACTAGGAAATGAAGATGAGAAATGGGCAGAAACAAAACATTGTGTGGCAACAAATAAGAGAACATACACACATACATCATACACATAAAAAGACAATAAAAATAGCGGACCTTTGTAGATAACACTAGCGTGTACAGGAACTAAACTTTCTTATTTATGAATATCACATCTCAAGGATTCACTGTAAAATTTATAAGCAAATCTTAATAAAGAAATTTAGATATATGGTATATAGGCAAAGACATGTAATTTTAGCTTTCAGTACTTTCCTTCACATGTAACTTAAATATTATAAAGATTTATGAATAGTCTCTTTTGGCTAACTTAGATTATAGTTTCTGTGACAGCCAAAACAGCAAAATCAGCAACTGTTTCTGCCTTGTTAAAGAAAAGGTTGTGGGTAAGATTTTACTCAGTGGTAACTGCTCTTAAAGTGCTTAATTTTAACTTCATTATAAAAAAACAGCATTCCTTTCCCAAACAGAATATTGTGTATATCATAACTCTCAGTTGCATTTTGGAAACACATATATTCACTTACAAAGGCTTTAATCCTTAACATAGAGTTGCATGTTATCAGGACACAAGCTACAGATAAAAATATGTACGTATTTAAACATGAGCTGCTCCTTTGTTCAAAGTTCAGGCTTCCATAAAACAAGGGTGTCACAGACGTAATGAAGACACAGAGGAATTAGTTAATGATTAAACATAGTAAGAAATGAAAAACTGACACTAACCAAAGAAAATTTTTACATTACAACAATGTGTGTTCAAGGCAGAAGAATAATTTGTCAAAGCATGTAAGCGAGCTAACAATTGTTACGTTGTTGAATAATAGTTTGGATAACATAATTAAGAAATTCAAGTAGAAAATGGCCCTAACTTGTTGAAATGAATGTGTTAGGTGATCTACTTGACATTAAGAACCTCTTTCTCTATAAACAAATAGAATACCCTTTAGAATATGCATGTAGTATATGTTTTATATATTTTACAGTCTGTACAAGTCCTCTATTAGTTTTAAAAACTAAGCTTTTATTTTAAATTAGCAACAATTATTTGATTACAATAAAATAGTCACCTACCATATTTAAGAAAATCAAAGATCAAGACAACTACATTAATCGTTAAGAACTCAGTGCTCCATTGTCATCACAGTGCACAATTATTTAAAAAAGGAAACATGGCAGACTAACGATAACCCTAGCCTATTATTCATTAGGTACTGTAATATGTTATTTTCCTCACCTTGAACACTTTGTTCTACAGCATAAATTTGACAATGCATTCAAACTGGAACTCCCTCTCAAATCAGCTTTTTAAGGCCCCATAGTACTAATTATGAAACACAAAGCTGGTAAGTGCTTATGGACCCAACATAAGTCTTTCATACTTTCATTTATAGCCACCTCATCTTGTTTGATAAAAATGGGCTTGTAAAATGATCAAAATGTTTACCTATTCTAAAATGTTTCTAATACATTTAAAATAATTTTGTTAAAACATGTTTTAAAAAATTTAAATGTGGGATTAAAACATATTTTCTTCAGCTGTATCCAACAAATCAGATCTTAAATTTCTTTAAATGTACTTTGAGTTTCCCCATAAGGCTACTTTTGAACTTCAATTAAATTTTAAAACAAAGCCAAACCCCAAAATAGGATATTTTTAAAGGATTGTCAAATGAAATCAAAACAGTTACTATGCAAATAAAAACAAACAAACCAACCAAAACAAAACACCAAACCAAACCAACACCATGACAAATTTCAGTTCAAACAACATTAACTGTGGAAAGGTTACAGCCCTTCTGTTGCACAAAATTATTTAGGTCTTTTGACCATAGCCAAGCAGTTAATATTTTTCCCATTACCTTCTTGTATGTTTGGTAAATATATATCTATATATACTTAATATTTTGGTTTTAATACTCACATATTTTCATTTTCCATTTGTTGTGGAAACAGTAACAGGTTGAGCCTTGTTTTTAAACATACTTTGGGTAACAATAACACGGCATGTTCCATACTGAAATAGTTCAGAAAATGGATGAGATATTACTTGCTCTGGCCTTATTGTAATTTAGATTATCTATTTATTGTTCATTCACATACTTCTTATTTAACAGCTTTTGGACACACACAGGTGATAAAAGCAGTCCAGCACTGCTTTCCATTATTGAGTGTGGAAATTTATGTAGTGATAAAATTGTTATGCTATTTCAGCTACATCTGTGGGTTTTTGAAACAAAATAATTGCAATATATTTAAAACATTTTCTATTTAAGAGAGTAACAAATATTTGTTACAAATACTTTCTAGAAGTCCCCTGTGACACATGTATTACCCTCCTGGCTTTGCCAGTAGATGCTTTAATAAGGTGGCTTTCAGCAAGTTAGCTGCAAACCTGACAATGTATGGATTGACCACCCATTTTGATATTTTTACCACTGCACAGTGCTAGCTCTTGTTTTATTATGTACTCTGGTCCATTTTTAAATATTCACTTGCAAGTTAGTATGTAAACAAACCACTGCTAAAGAAACATCGTTTGAGTCCGTTAATATAAAAGTGTTGCACATATGATAAGAAATAAAACCTTGGATCAAAAGCACAGCTGCAGATAATTAACCTAGCTCTGTGAAGGAGCTGTATCAGCTTAAATCAAAGGACTTGTGACTTTGGAATAAAGGTTCCCAGGCTGTGCACAGTGAAATGTTTGCTGACGGTCAACGCACAGCTCACACCTCCTCATTATTTCCAGTTGCCAGACTCCACTGACAGGATTCTTAAATGAATCGCTTCCCAGTATTAGAGGTACATAGACTATATAAAGAAGTATAAATATATAGTCTATCTAAATATTATATTTAAGATCTATACACATAACTATAGCATTTGATGTATTCAATGCAGAGTTTCATATGTATATGTAATGTTACAGTTGTAGGTAATTCATAGAATTTCGGTGGCAAAAGATAGGGGAAAGATCTCCTGGATGGAAACAAAACAAAAGTTCTTTAATATTGCCCCTACATTAAATTGCAGTCTGCAGTATGAACAGATAAATAAATAAGGAGCCCAGGATGAGTTCAAATTTTTGCAGTGTGTCCTCAGCATCTGATTTTCTACCAACAGTTTTGTAAAGTGATTAGATGTTTCTGCAAGCTACAAATCAGTTCGTCTTTCAATCTACACACAACGGGTAGTCTTATCTTGATTGGATGTCTTGTCAAATTGTTTAATTAAGTCAGTACTAAAGCAAAATTCTGTGACATTCTATTGCAACAAGCTATCATCTTGATTGTGTCTTTCAGAAAACACACCTGAAAAGTATTTGTCTGCAGTATCATCTGTATCTTCTTCTGAACAGCCATTTCTTCTGCCTTTTAAAGAATGAGATGGGATTAATCATCTTCTTCCTATGGTAACTACAAAGTCAATGTTAATTAGACAGTAAATACAAATTATTTACTTTTACCATTACAGCTGTTAATTGCCTCCAGTGGCTTTAGCAAGTGGATCCTCTCCTGCCATGATAAGCAGTCTCCCATTGTTTCGTAGGCCATGGTCCCTTACTTGATTCTGGTTTTGACTAGGTTTAGTCTGGTCAAGAATGCACTATGGCCCTAATCTCCCTGACAACCCTCAAATTGTAGGAATTGTTGTGTTTAATGACCTCCATTAATTGCCATGTGTCTTTGCAATGAAAAAAAAAAACAACATGTGAGCATTTTTAAATACGTTTGCTGAATTATGTATATGAAATGCCTCCTTCCATTCTTACTCTAGTTTCCCGTCTTAGAAAGCTGGTCCTGCTTCTAGGGCCTACAGGTCCCACGTGTTTTTTCTTTGTGCCCCTTCAGTCAAATCTCTTTGCTAAAGTCTGACATTTCTTCTCTCTCTCCCCCCTGGCAAAAACATGGTAAGTGTCCTCTGATTCTTATTATAAACCCCCATTTTTGTCCTTTCCCAAAAATCTTGTAATTTTTTAGCCTTTGGTTAAGGCTTGAATGTTTAACAACTGCTTGTTTTAAATCAGCTTCCCAAAACAATTGGTCTTTTTTTTCTACATTGTCACATATTATTTATAGTATAGCAGTACTGAAAGGCATCCAAATTAAGGATCCAAGTGGGGACACATTAAAATTGCAATTCACATTCTAAAAATCTTACAAGGAGAAGGAAATCTTCCCTCCACCCTTTAGTGGTTCACTTTGAGCCAAATCTTATCCATAGCAGGAGGAAGCTTTCCTGTACACAAAAAACTACATCTAAAATGACAAATAATATTTCTACAGGGCTTAAGGTAGAAATTCCATAGTAGCAGGTGGGGAAATTTTCAGTATAAGAGACTGAAATCTCTGATTTTTTTGTATACTTTAAAAGAATTGCAGGTATTTTACATTAAGTAGTCGAACCTTTCTCTTGCATTATATTCTATAAAACTGGCCTTTTTAAAAAACACATTGACTGTTTATAAAGTGTGTGACTCTGAGATATATTTTTCATGTATCTATCTGTATGGTTTTATGATTGGTCAAATATACTTGCCCCACACATTTTCCATATGTATATATACATGTAAACAATGTACCTATAGTATCTTGATAATCTCTGACTCTCTTTTTCAGCATAAACCTATACCTGTATAAACAGTATACCAACTGTTTAGCCTAATGGTCACTGGTTTTCTTCTGTTCTAGTGCTTATGTACCAAGGACAGCAGCAGGTCATTGCAAGTGGGCAGAAGTTCTGAAAGATTTGGAGCAGATCAAGACATCCAAAGTAAGTTAATAAAAAACTCAGAATTTCATATAATCATAGGAGCAGATATAATTAAATATTTAGCACTGTACTCAGCTAAGAATTGTCAGTGACAGGGAGCAGAAAAAGTGATGGTGCTTGTATAATGCTATTTCATGGGTGGAAGCAAAGGAATAGAAGGTTAAAGGGAATTGAAGTTGACCAAACACTGAGGACCCTAGACTTAAATATTATTTTCTTTCTCACTTTTCCTAAGAAAAGGGGTGGTGAGCTTGGGAGTTAGCTCCTTTGGGGAAAGTATTGTGGGACTCTATTCTGGTGAGTCCTTCTCACAGTGAAGCCCATCCTGCAGGTTACTACATGACTTTAAGATACCCTGACTTGCTGGCTCCCAGTACCTGGATGGATTGGGCCTTTGAACTTGGACCTAAGCCATGCCTTACAGAGTTAGCTTTATTATCTCTAAATTTGTTAGTTAATGTTCATAACTCTAACCCTTGTTTTCTTTTAGGACATTGATGTCAGTTTATATACTGCAAACACAGATGAGGATGTAAGTAAACTTGAAATTTGACCACAACAGGTCTATTAGGGTGGCTTCATTTCTTTATTAGCAACTTTCTCCTAAGGCAGCCTTGGTCTAATTTGACAGAAGTTTCAGAAGTCAAATAATTTGCCTTGGAAGGAACAGTTCTGTTAGTCAAAGTACTTATGATAAGTTATGTAAGCAGGTATTACTTAGATTTATTGAATCACCTGCTATTAAAGTTGATCAATTAAAAGGGATGATCCAAAATGATCTTATCAAAGCAAACACCGCTAAAATAATGTTGGTATTTGTTTGTAATTTGAGCAAGGAAAAAAGTGACAAAGAAAATACTTCCAAAGTTACTTAACACCATGCACTATTTAATGGAATAAAATACTGGAGAAGTGGAATATGGAGAGTAACTGTCAGCACCTATTTGTGCATTTCTCTGCTTTTGTCATCTTAGCAGAAATACCTAGGTGCTCTCAAGGATTTAGATTTTTAATAGTTGCATATTATAATTTATCCTGTAAAGGATGAATTATGTTAATTTGTCAATATAATTCTTAATACTATCATAGAAACCTATGTAAAATATGATCATCTTAAATGCAGTTTCCAAAAATTCATACCTGAAGAGACTTTTTCATAATCTGTTGTTGTGGAGCTCAGTCTGCACCCCATGGAACACATGCATCCCACCAAGGAAATGAATCCAGCCAATACCCCACTTCTAGCAGTCACCTTCAGTATAGCCCTGGTGGAACTGGCTGGATTCATTGCTGTGGCAGCAGCCTGCTTCTGAGATATTGCTTTCCTGACAACATAAACATTCACACAAGGACTGTGCCAAACACAGACAATACATGAATCCTGTACAAAGAAGTTAATGAAAGATTTCCAAGAAATGATGGACTGACTACCTCAGTGCAGAATAGTCCCAGTGTGCATGCAGAATACAGTGATGTTGATGTATTCAGTGGATCTGGCAAGCCTGAGAAAGCACAGAGTCTGATGTATCTGTACAGTTAGCCATGTACATGACAGGGAAAAAGGTCGCAAAACATGCACGTTCATATCCACTCTCACATTCTCTTAACTGAACCGAGCCAGACATGTTAATGCGTTGCAATGGCTGGTTTAATACCTGGTAATGTCAGGAAGATTTTCTTAAAGTGGGACAGTCTGATATGGAAGTCAGACAACCTGGCACTTATTCTTGGCTTTATTGTTGACTCGATGGAGAAATTAGTACCTCCGCTTCCTTTTGTTTAATTTGTGAAATACAAGTAACATCTACTTTCTCTTCTCCCCTACCTGTTCTGAATTCAGATCTCTGAATGAAAGTGCTAGAACTACTAAGAATAATACTAATTTAATTCCGCATTGTTTAATCATATCCCAAATTCCTATCCTAATCAATTATTTTCCTATGTTCTTCACTGAGACACTATGTTTCACCCCATCTTAGCAAACTGCCTGGCCTTTATGTTGTTAGCTCTCACAGGCAATCTTTGCAGATATTTAAAAGTAGCTGAATATTAAGAAGAGATATCCAGTAAATAAAAATCAGACACTTTGCAGTAAGTTTTATCTTACATTCACTTATTCCTTTTTGATCATAGAACTATTACAACTTCATTTTTTTTCAGAAAGAATGCCAAGAACCTGTAATGAGATGCTTTTTCTTAGAAACAAAAGTGATTCTTCAAGAATGTCTTACCATCAAATGTAGTAAAACACAGGACGTGTTGAACATATGGAAAAATGGAAATGCAAGCTTAGAAAATAACAAGGTAAGTAACACCAACAGTCTGTGGAAAAAAGGCAATCCAAAGTAGCAGAAATACCTCTTCTGTTATATAGAAAGTGGGATGGTACAGATGAAAGCAAATGGGATCCAGTATCCTGTACATACAACAGTGAGAAAGCTACATATGAAAAAGCAGAATTTTGTGGGTTTTAGAAAAATACTTTCAGGATTCCCATCAAAGCAAATACTTTTGACTCTGCACGCATACATATGTCAGCGTGTTTGAATGCATATGTATAAATAACAGTTTGTAACTTCAATATCTAAAGTCAAGTATGCTTAGACATATACAGAAAAGTATCCTAATTTTCAAAGGGACAGCCACTTGCATCTCTCACTGAAGTGCTGTGTATCTTTGAAAGCTGATCCTACTCAGAAAGCAAGCCAGGAGCTGCACAGACTATAAGTACAATGGAAGCCTCCAGCAATGCTTTCTATAGGCATTGACCGCATTAGAGTTATTCACAAGAACAGGACAAACAAGGGCTAGTTCTCTATCAGAACAAATAGCTCAGTATCCTGCTTTACTATTGCATTTTTGTTTTTCAGTCGAATTCCACAACATCAGCAAAATGCAAAGAATGTGAAGAGTATGAAGAAAAAAATTTTACAGAATTTATACAGAGTTTTGTAAAGGTTATACAGAAGGAATGCAAACACTGACCAAAAGACATAAGCTGGAAACTAAGATTCTTTGACGAACATCTTCAGAGAAATTAAGATTATCACCAACAATAAACTGGAAAGAACATCACTTACAATCCTACTTACACAGCGTAACCTGTAAACAAAGAATAATAAAATCCCTGTAATTCACAATGTATTCATAACTGAATACATACAAATGAAATCACTTATCAAATATAAATGAAAGGAATTTAACAGGGTTTAAAGCTTCTTCTTGACTTAAAGTCTCTTTATTTTTTGGTAAGTCCACTGGAAAAGAAATTCTGCCTAACTTACCAACATTTCAACAAAATTTTCTAAGAAGATCTCAGGGTATCTGCAGTGGGAACCTTTCCATGAACATCAGTTCAGGGCTAACTGAATGGGGTTTCAGAGAAAAGCTCTTCTTTTTTTATTATTGATATAAAATTATCATACCCTGTTAAAACATTTGGCTATAGCTATTTTTCTTATCTGAAATCTATTCCTTTACTATTTGTGCTCCTAGAAAAGCCTATCTCATCTGTCACTTCTGTTGTTACTCATGTCTGACAGTTTTCCTTGTTATTTTTTTCTCATTAACATTCTTTCAATGACCTAGTGTCAAAATACAAGGTGAGGCCTATTTGTCTTAAAGGTCTATTGGCTATCTCTTAATATATTTATTTTTACTATGGTTTTCAGGTAAACCCAATTACTTCTTTTACCTAAGCATTCAAAGTCAAAAATTAGAATATTTATTTAAAGATTCTTCCTTGCTTATTTTCCCTTTTGTACAAAGGTAGTATAAGAGTATTAAAAATTATCTCCAGTCTTCTCAACAGAAGGTAATGCTGGTGCTTGGTTCCACTGTCCAACGACAGAATGTGCTTTGTTATTGCATTTGTTACCTCTGACAGACACCACCTTAGTCATTATGGTAATTACTACAGTTCCTTTAGCAATTGCCAAAGATTTCAATCTAAATTTCAACTAAAGAAAAGTAACATGAATTTCATTCTTTGAATAAAGGAGGTGACTAAGTCTCTTATACACTTTAAAAAAAAAATAAAATCTATGTGGTAGAAATCTTTCCTATGTAGTAGAGTTTGTAACTTTGATCTCCTTTTGGGGTAAGAACTTTGAAGGCAGGAATCACTTTTGACTAGTTACTGGAAATCGTAACAATTATATTTCTAACACTCAATGCACTCACCTGTCCCCTGGTAGTTCTGAAATGTTGCATAGTCTTCTTGCAGCTCTTACTAAAATAACTGCTTTCTTCATGATTCACAACTATGTCATAACAACTGCTATCCATAATAAGTATTTCTTTCCTCCAGGCACCTCCATTTCTCCATCTTCTTTTGATAAATCGCTGAGTTATTCAGCTGTCCACTTACCAGGAAGGAAGTCTCAATCTCATTATGGCAACAAATACACTGCCTGGTACTCCCTTATTGTTGGGTTACTCCCAACAGTCAATCTTCAGCACTCTGAGGAGCTGAATCTCCAGTAAACTACAAGAGAAAGAACATAAATGTGAGCACAGTGGATGTCATCTTCCAGGTGACTTATAGTCTGATTGGTAAATTCATAAGCACATTGATATCAGGATTAAACTTGATATTGGCAAGTTATTAGCATAAGCACACTGCTACCAGGATTCTCAGGTATCACAGGAGAAATAAACAAATTATTTGCCACTGCAAAACATCGATGAAAGAAGTGTTTATTACATAGTTTGGAGGAAGTGAACTGATCCTATATTTTAAATTTTTCCTTAAAACAATAGTATGCATTGAATATTATTTTCTCTTACCTGATGTCAGATGTATAGGTGAGGTAATACCAAGTTACAACTGTGGTCTTTAATCAAAGAGATAAAGGGATTTTCCTTATTTCTAGCTTTGAGGGAGCTTGAGACACAGTCCAGCAGTATTCATGATGGGAGAAACAAACAACTTCTTTGCTCAGATAGTTTTCTTTATCTTGGCCATTGTGAAAATCAGTTACCTGATTAATTTTATTCTGTTTTTCATTAAATTATTTACCAGTGGCAAGCATGCTAAATACTGTGAACTTGTCTTTCCAAAAGAATATTGCTAAGCTTGTGACCACTCAGCTTGCCACCCTGTTAGCTACTTTCTGTTGGACACTGGCCATACCTCTTTTATTTTATTTCACCTCCACCTGTTCCAGATGCATATTCTAGAATCAAAAAAAGGCCATTGGCTAATCTAGTTCTCCAGTATTTCTCCTGGGGTTTTCCTTTTCCTGAGAGCTAAGCTGCCAAATGAAAGCTTTACTACATCCTGAATTCTATGGTTATAAGAAATGATCTGATCAGTATAAAGGATGAACTAAATTAAGGCCAGGTTGGTGTCTTTTTTTGGTGAGGGAATTCATCCATACCCGGGACGAAAAGATTCAATACGACTAAGACATGCGTGAATCTGATCTGACTTGTTAGTACTGCAGGCAGAACAGTAAAAAGTAATTCAGGGTGCCTACTTTTGAAGTAAGCATCCCTAGGTTGAGGAATGCATTTCCTCTACACAATATCTAGTCATTTGTGTGACATTTACTACCTAATCTTTTCCAACTACTGGTGGTAAAGGTTAAGAAAAATTTTAATACTGTATTTTCTTTGATAAATCCAACTCAGTTTGGGACTAAAGCGACTCATAGCAGAGTGTTTCTATGTTGAGAAAGAAAAATAACTCTACCTTTTGACACCAGAATAGAAGAATAATGCTCTTTCACAGAATTTTTTGACTACATAATTCTGTGTTCCTGACTTTGCACTAATTTAAAATCTATTTTTCCTTTCCTGATATTTCCTGGAGCAACAATATTAACCTCGTATCACAGCAGATGATCAGTGAATGCTTCCAGGAGTATCATTACTATTTTGTAAAGCAAGGTAAAGGACATTTGCATTTACACAGAAAATCACTGCCCAATAGGTTATGGCCTCCAGGTAAACTGACTAGGACAGAGGCATGTTGCAAATTAGCTCTCCTATGACACATAGCACTAGATAATCATGTCACTACCTGTTCCAAGTATGTAAATTAAATGTACAATTGTTAGTCAACTCATTTGTCTACACAGCTGCACCACAGATATTGTGGTTCTACTGCCCACTAAACCCAAACTAAGTGCCCTGTCATCCTTGTGAATCTCTTTCC